GTTGTGGGACCAGCCAGTGATGTCACAGAAGGAGTTCTTGAAGTCAGGAGGTTCTGTAGACTGATCATTTGCTCCTTCTTCCCTTCCAACTGATATTGTGGGTTTCTCCTCATCTGTTCCCCTTCCACTGTGGCTCTAAAGAGCTCCTTACTTGGAAGACAGTCCTCGTTACCTAGTTCTTCTAGTTCCTCCATAGTTTGTATTCTTTCTGGCCTCTGCAACAAGATGTTGTGGAATAACCTTTTTGTAGACTGTGAAGATGTGTGTGTTTGCCAAGCCACCTTCTTATTGGTTTAATTAAAAGCTAAACAGTCAATAACTAGGCGGGTGGATTAAGCAGTACACCCAGACAGATATGATCACTGGGAGACAGAGAAGGAGCAAGAAATGGAAAAGCCACGAGCCATGTGGCAATACACAGATTAATAGAAATGGGCTAACTTAAGTTGTAAGAACTAGATGGTGACCAGCCTAAGCTATGGCCTAGCTTGTATAATTAATAATACCTTTCCATGTCATTATTGGGGAACCACCATTCCCAAGGTAAAAATCCAACTACAAATAGACACTCCTCTTCCTCTGGGTTAAGCTGAAGCAGGATTACAAAATCAAGGCCAGAATGAGCTACATAGTAACACTGTTTTAAAGCACACTAAATTAGGTTGTTAGGGAGGTCCTTGTAGTACACTGTACAAGAATGAGTAATGTTTTGCTCAGACTTGATTGTAAAAAAATAAAACAAAACTAAACCCAGAAGCAAACTTTTTTAATTGTCCATGTTAAGTGGTTTTAATCTATACTTTGTAATATGTATATTTTGACATTATTTTTTTACCACATCCGGGAATTAAATTCTTTACTACAGTGAGAGGTAAGCTAAGCATATATTGACCAAAATTCACGTTTTAAATCTGTGGTTCATTGTCAGAGGTGTAGCCTAAATTTGTTGAAATAATGCCATTTTATAGTATTACTATTGTAAGATACCGTGTTCCATTCAAGTATCCACCATAAATCCTTAAAACACACTGGAAACTTACCTTCATTTCAGTATCTGTTCCACATCTTCATGCACTTTTATTTAATTTAAGTAGAACTATTACCCTCCAAAATCTAAACAAATTGTTTTGAATATTGTACTCATTCTTTAGTCACTGATTTTTACTTTGCCAAAGAAATTCTTTTAGATCAAAATATTTTGAAAATATTAAGTTAGTTTATGCTATCAAAAATGCTTTATGTCCTACTGGTTTACAACAGAAATCAGTAACATTTCAATATGAACAGAAAAATTTATTTTACTGTACCTCAGTTTCTAGTAAGATTGGATTTTTCTGTAATATTATACTATAAAAATATGATCATACAGAGAGAATACAGGGCACTAGAAATATTTAGGTAGTGGATTTTCTGACAGTGTTTATAACCTCATTAGAAAATAAAAGAGATGACAAGGTACCAAATTTTTCTAAATTTTCAATATAAACAAATAAAATAAAATCCATACTTTATGTATCTATGAAGCATAATTTAAGTTTCCCAGAGATAATAAAATCTTTTGGAACTTTGTACTCTGTTACTGTTCTAAATAATAAAGTAATACTCATAATATTGATAAAGTAAAATTAGTATAAATTTTATACACTGTAATCATAATGACTTACCTTATAAACTTATTATGGTGGTTTACATATCAGTCTCTCTTACTCATTATTGTAAGGAACTTGTCTGTCAGGAGCTACTGAACTTGGGTATCTATTATGTTACCCAATGAAATAGCTTTTAAGCCATGATGATGAATTCAGGCCAAGTTAAGTATCTATTATATTTAAGGAGTCTTGATGGGGAACGTGCTTCTGTGTATGTGTATGGCTTACTGGATGATAAAGTACTGTTTGGCCAATGAGGCAGCAAGTTAGGCAGGACTAGGAGTTGAGGAGGACTCTGGGAAACGTAGTAAAAAGTGGTGATTCATGCAGGAAGCGACATAGCAGGGAGACTCATATTTAAGGAAGGACAACAAGGAAGTGGCTGCTTTTCCCCTCAGCTCTTCCTCCAGATTCTCCATGTGATCCACCGGCAAGGAAGGACGCCAATGGAAGGGGTCCGATAAGATAAGTCTTACAAAATATATAGATTTATGATAATTAAGACTGAGCTAGCAGATGAGAAATCCTAGTCATTGGCTAAGCAGCATTTGTAAATAATAGAAGTCTCTGTATTATTTTGTCCATCCACTAGGAGGGCAGAACTCAGGCGGCTGGCAGAGACTGCCCACGTGGCAGTAGGGCTCAGGCGGCATTTGGCGGAAAGATTTATTGTAACAGAATCTTGCTATTACTGTCACAAATCAGTAAAATTTATTGGATAAACATGTTCACAGAGGTTGCTCAGGAAAATGGGAATCAGGCTAACTCAGATCCAGCAATTCCTCTCTTGGGCATATACCCAAATAATGCATGCTCATATAACAAGGACATATGTTCAACCATGTTCACAGCAAATTTGCACTCCCACCAGCAATGGAGGTGTGTTCCTTTTTCTACAGGTATGAACTCACTCATATATGAACTTTAGACATAGACCAAAGGATTACTAGCCTACAATCCTCATGACCAAAGGAACTAGGAAACAAGAAGGACTCTAAGAGAAAAATGTACGGACCCCAGAGAATGGGAAGGGGCAGGATTTCTCCTGAACTAATCGGGAACATGAGGAGCCCTCATCCAGTGGCTGATGGAAGCAGAGGCAGACACCTATAGCTATACACTGAATTGAACTCTGGGACCCAGTTGCAGAGAGGGAGGAATGAAGATCAAAGTGGTCTGGACCAGGCTGGTGAAACCCACAGAAACATCGAACCTGAACAAAGGGGAGCACATGGACCCCAGACTGATCCAGACCCCTGAACATGGATGTCAATGAGGAGGTTTCGGCACTCGATGGGCCCTCTGGTGGTGATCAGTATTTTTCCCTGGTGTAAGAACGGACTTTGAGAGCACACGAAGGGACGCTATCTGGGCCTGGATACATGGGGGAAGGCGTAGGCCTGGGCCAGGATGATGTGGTGGACTTTGGGGAGTCCCCATGGAAGGCCCTACCCTCCCTGGGGAGCAGAGGAGGGATGGGGTGGGAACTGGTTGGGGGAGGGAGAGGAAGAAGGGATTTACATATGAAGTAAGTTTGTGCCTAATTTGAACTAATAAAAAATAAATATAAAAATTATGTTCACGTCTGGGAAGGAAATTTACTTGATTAAATATGTTCAAATTGGAATATACTGGAAAGGGAAGATATCAGAAGAGTGCTTGCTGCACTTCCAGTGGACTTGAATTTGTTTCTAAACACAAATCTCAAATGGCTCACAACCATGTGTAATTCTGTCTCCAGTGTATCTGTATAACTGTTTTGCCTTCTGAGACTACCTGCACATATGACAGACACATACGTCCACATAAATGAAAATAAATAAATAACATTTTTAAATAATGGACATGCACTGTACACATGCACACTTTCTGACAGCCCTCTGGTCCACTCATTTCATTCAGTGTTACAAAAAAAGCATCATGATTTATTCAACTCACAAAATTACTTCTTTGGCCTCTCTCTTTGCAATGTTGTGTCCTCTTTAACAGTGTGTCAATAAGCCCAACTTCCACCTGTGCCACTGCATTAGAAAGGAGAATTTAATTTAAAAACTCATTGATTTCCTACCAATCAATAGGGAAAACTGAGCTGACACAGCAAGACTCATTCTAATCCTATCCTATCTCCACTAACAACACATGAAAATGCTCCCTAAGAGATAGGAAAATATTTTAGGAGATATATAACAGAATTCAACATGAAGGTGGGAGAAATGTGAGGTTTTCTAGAAAAGACAAAAGAAACAAAAGTCAGAAGTAATAACCCAAAGATAAATTTCAAGTCAGCCTAAGGTATACATAATAATTCATTGGATCCTGCAGCTCCATCACTCTCTTAGGAAAAGATATTTAATCTTAAGGTCCCACTTGTACAGAGCTTGGGCTGGGCTTCAGGTGGCAAATGGCCAGCTTGCCCTTAAAGTTGTAACCCCACACTTTGTGTATTTCAATGCGGATTCTGGTGTCATACAAATAAGACATGGCGTTCTGAATGTGGGAAAGGTCCTTAATGATTTTTATTTACAAACAGAAAAACCTTAACATAGACAAAAAATTCAAACTTGAAACTGATTTGTGGGACATATCTGAAAGGAAGAACACAGAAAAACACCACCTAAAACAATCTTGAGGTAGCACATATTTCATTACAGTATTTACTTTCTAGATATTAAGTATTGAAAACTTTGCATGTGTATTATAAACTGCTGTGATCAGGAAGTTTATTATAGCCTTATAAAAACAAAAAAACTGGAAACAAGATGGATAATCTTGAATAGATGAATTTAAGTGTATTCAAAGACATGTATACTATTTAAAAGTACAAATGAACACACATTACAA